CTCTCTCTCTCTCTCTCTCTCTCTCTCTCTCTCTCTCTCTCTCTCTCTCTCTCTCTCTCTCTCTCTCTCTCTCTCTCTCTCTCTCTCTTAGGTGATTGCGCGCGGCCCGCAGTGCCGAACGCAGAAGGGCACTGGCGCGTTGCCGGGCGCTTCTCCGTACTTCTCGTACCTTCGTGCATCCGAAATTTTGCCTCCTCTCTCTCCTCTTTGGCGGACTACCCCTGACTCTTTTATACTCTTTTCTTGACTCCATCCTGGTGGTTACTCCGCCACCCCCATCCCGTATGGCACCGAAGCCGAAGTTTTCCCAATTTTTCGTCATTCCCGCCGTTTCTCTTCGAAAAATCGGAGAGTTCGCGCCATGTGCAGCCGTGGCGCTCTCCCCACATCCTAAGCAAGACGTGCATCCCTTCTGTGCTCGTTCGCAAAAAAAAACGACTGACAAACAAGTCGAGGAGCGGGCGGGCTTCCGCAACTGCTTTCTTGCACCCATGCATGCCACAGCTCGCTCCCTTGCCCGTTCCACACCCTCTCCTCCGAGGACTTTCCCGCTTTCTTGTCAGACCACACTTCCCAATTCTCCCTTCCTTGCCTCCTCAGTCGATCCCTATTCTTCTCTTTCCCAACCAATCGGATTTCCTCCTTGGTTCTCAGTCGGATCCCCCCTTTTCGTTTGGACTCCCTCCCTCTTACCTCGCCCGTAGCCAGGGTCGCGTTCCCGCTTGCTTGGTCGTCTGCTCCTTCCTTATCCGTTGGGAGGAGCGAGCGCTTCTTCCTTTCTCCAACCGTCTTCCGCGCTGCAGCAGCCACTACCTTTTTTTCTCATAATTGAGCGACAGGTCGAACGTGGCTCACCGTCCGGGCTTTAACCGACTTTAGCCCCTTTTCTTTGTTCATCATTCCCCCAAACCTCGCCGAGATGTGGGCCCCTGATCACACCGGAAGATCAACTCCATCCCCTCCTATCGGGCGATCTCATCAAGCATGTGACGAACCACTTTCCATATCGCGCGACTTTCTGCGCAATTACGATGAGGGGTCCTAAGTTGGGTAGGTTGGGCCAATTACGGGAAATCGGGATCTATGGGAAATTGCATCAGTGTCCTTGCTTCTTCGTCGTCTTTTTGCTTCTTTTCGGTGGTTGAGTTTTGAGGTCGGGGCTGGATGGTCTGGTGGTTTATCGGGAATTGATCGGCCGATTGGATCACGCGCCTAAGGACTCACGATTAATAATTGTTGACGTCGGAGCTTTTGTCGGGTGTTTTTCGGCGCGGACATAGCGCGGGAATTTTGCTTCGTTCTTTTGAATTTTTGCATTTCGTTTTTGAATCTTGCTGAGCCCGATTGGCTCTAGGAATTTAGATCTCTCTTTTCGGAATTTTGTATTTCTGACCTTTTCGCACTTTGGCGGTAATTAGGAATTTAGGATTTTTGGATTTCGGCATTTCCTTTTTGCACGCGCGATTGCGCTTTCGCTCGCGCGCTTCTTTTTGCAGCTGCCACGCAGCTCTGATTAGTCGGCGCCTATGTTGCACGCCGGGCGCGGCCGAGTTCGGCCCAGGCCGAGGCCAGCGGCCTAGGCCGGGACCCCCCCTAATAAAAAAAAAAAAAAAAATAGAAAAAAAGGGTCGTAACTCG